TTTGTGCCCTCGTCCAAAAGGGACCTCCATCTGTCCCCACACTCGGCCTATTGTGAAGTGCCAAAGCCCGGCAACTTCCACAATGCAGTGGGCGGGCGAGGGGGGGCCAGGGTAAACACGACAGCATCCAGATCCCATTAGAAGCTCTTTAACTTCCACACGCTATTACTGTGAGAGAACCCTGGGTGGAGAAGGCCCACCCCGTGTCCTCATGCACACAATGTCACCTCTTGCATCCAACCAGAGGTAATGAGCCTGCATGCGAGCTGTTTAGGATTATCTACGAGCTGCTGTGAAATGTCTTTCCATTCAAGAATATGACATAAAACCTAGGGCAAAGTATCTGTTCCTCTTCCAAATTCTAATGTCACCATCAATTCTTCAGTCTTTCGTCCACCGCCTGCTCCGAAGGCTTCTCCATTTCAGGGTTCTCCAAAAAACTCGGACCTGCTTGCGTGCATGCGTGTGACCCAAGAGGAGGGAGGGGGATCACTGTGTTGGGCCCGGCTTAAAGTCTGAGGGATTACTAGCACACAGACACTGATTAAAGCCTTCCATCCTCCTATGGCCCCATTAATACAATCTTAATCACAATGCTTTATCCCTCAATCTAGCTCCTATGGATCGGGGCCTTTTCATTTCAGTGGCCAGCCACTGTTGTTTGGCTCGTGGATTAAGTATGCACGGCACACGCAAACTCAGATATAAGCACAAAAGATGAATAGCAAGCTTTGTGCCGAACTTCGCAAATAGTTGAGATTTGAATTGTTGCTTATAAAATGTTGCAGCTTCAAGTAGAAGATCTGGGAGGCAGGGTTATCATCGTTTGAGATTTTCATCGTTGTCGTTAGTTTTTATTTCCTTTGGACTTCTGTTGTTTAATTCCAGTATGTTTTAAGAGCAGGTAGTTTAATTTATTTGTAATGGAGAATTTGTTGAGTTCAAGATGAAAAAAAAGTGATTAAATATTATGTAATAAAGTTAGGTAAACTACAACTGATCGACCTTCCCTTGTCTATGCAGACATACAGGAATACCAAAATCCATACATTTAAAGTCAACCCCAAAAGCTCATGTGTGGCATTAAACGATAAAAACAAATGACACGTTTGCTATAGTTGCAGTTTTATCAACATAAAATGCATTTTTAGTTTTTTTTTTTTACTGCGTTTTTATTTGGATTTATTGATTCATTTGCATTATTTGTTCGTTTTGGTGAATCTTAATAACCTTGCTGTGAGCAGATATCGGACGTGACCCCTTCCTTTTCGGAGTTCGAGCCACAGGTCGCACTCTGCTGTCACCACAGCTGAGGAGGCTTAGAAAAGCTTGTTTTCCCTTCCGATTAGGACACTCAAGTTCAGCCTGTATTGGAGGTTACACTCATGGAATTAATATGCACTAAAGTGAGTATTATATTACATTTTTGGTCATTCAATGCATATCATGGACATATGATGGAAAATGTACTTCTTTATCCAAATAGTTGGATGTGTTTGGTCGGTGCTCACCCACGATGTGTGAAATGAAACAAATAAAGCTTATGTGAGCTTTTTTTGAATAAATGTTTCTGTGACTAAGTCATTCTACATTTGAACCCCCTGACATAGAGTTGTTGGGCCATGACGTTGCAGCTAGGCTGATCTGCTCATTTTAAGTGGTGGCTGCACTACATGTCTATCATGTCAAGTCAAAAAGGTAAGCTGAGCTGCAATGTTCATACAGAATGCCGTTGGCTAACAGCATTAACTGGCATATATGCCAAGTTGGGAAAGTTTTTGACACTGGGTGAGTGGTTGCACAACATACATGCTTGACAAATTTTTTTTTACATTTGTGGTCCCGCCTATGCAAGTGAAAAAAAACGACATTTGTCTCAAGGCTTCTTAAGAATCAAAAGCCGCTTACGTAGTCGCAACACCTTGGGCTTCGTCTCGGTCACCATGGTAATCAAAGATCTACTCTGCGTTTTGAGCAGTGGCTTATTTGCATGAGACGGATCCACCCCCTGAAAACCACGTGGTTTCAAGTGTGCTGTAATTCTTAGTCCTTTGTGTAACTTGATTAAAGATCGCTAAATAAAATTGATTGAGACACTTGGAAATAGTTTTAAATTGTGAACAAATGCGTCATGTCTCGGTCAATAATCTCGTTCAATAATCATTACTGAATCCGGAGTGTTCTCTTGAACAATTTTTCCATACACGATGACTTACATAATTGGAGGGGTTGGGGGGGTGGGTCTTGGATCTGCTGCTATTCATTTTTCTTGTATGTGGATGTATTTTGCATTTGCACGTGATCCCCCTATCAACACATGAGATAACAGCAGAGATGCGAAATCATTGTTGCTAAAATCATCTTTTTTATGGAAAGGCGATCTTGCATGCAAAGTTTACTGTCGTGGGTTCTTCCCATCGACCTGATCGTGCTGTATATTTGCATTTGGGGGACTAATCTATTCATGCGGCAAAACAGCACAAAGAGGGTGTGCGCCAACTGACTCTGTCATTACTTTCTCACAGGCCAAATATCTGCCTGTGTGTGCAGCTATGTGTCCCTCCTATATGCCAAGACTGACACACAGGAGCCGAGAGGACAAAGTTGTGAATGAAGAGCAAGGACCCCGGTCACCTCTCGTGCCCTCGGCCTCCCTTTCCCCTTCTACGTTTTTCCCTCAGCACACTGCTCCCCTTTTCTCTCCGCCACCCCGCTCGCATGCTCTCACTCTCCTCTTTCTCCCTTCCCAAATTGGCCCAGCTGTCCATCAGCCCCCCCGCCCCCGCAGTTCCCCCAGCTGTCTGCCCTCCCCAAACGAGAGAACCCCACAACAATAGGGGTCACAGGTCAAGAGAAAGAACAGGCTGCACTTACAATAGACCAGTGGCGCCCTGTAAAACAATCATTCCCTTTTTCTCCCGCAGCCTTTCAGTCCTGTTGCCTGAACTGGAAAAGACAAACCTTTGGAGAGCTATCTGAAGAGGGGGAACATTCTTTTGGACAACGGCCTCCGAGGCACCTTCCCCGTCAACAGTTGCTTGAAGGACCGCAAGTATCAACACTGTCAAACGCTGCGAGCGCGACGCAGCTGCACTCTGCCACCCCGTTCTTTGTTCACCTCAAGAGCCATCAAGTCCCTCGCCGTGCTCATTAAAGTCAAAACTCAGCCTTTTGACATTAGAGGAGTGATATAAGTGTGCTCGGAACTCAGCCAGATCATCCACGGCCAGTCTGAAAATACAGATCAGGATGCTGCTGACTAAAGTCTCTTTGCTTTATGCTCTTTGGTGGCCATTCTGTCCGACATGGAAACATGTTTGGAACACATTTTTCAGATGAATTTTTACCCCACGGTGTTTTGTCAGGAGTTGGATGGGAAACTGGGACATGTGGGAGAGATGGCAAAAAAGCCTGCATGTGCCACATTCACCTGGTCTACTTGTGCTTTTTCCCATGGCCCACAACAGGGTCCCGCATGACCTGCTACACGCTGCAGAAAAAGACTGTCAAGCATATCGTGCACACTGTGCACATCCTACAGCGGATTTCTTGTTGAACTCCACTAAAGATTTAAAAGAAAAAAGAAAAAAGATGGTGAAAAGCAACTTTTAAAATCTGAGAAACATGAATACAATGGGAAAGCCAGGTTGCCGCTTTTGTTACCATGACAAAAATGGAGTGTGGTTTTTCATCTGTAGCAAAATTGTAGATTAGCGCAAGCTTTATTATTTAGTTTTATAGCAAAATGATAAAATAATACATCAAAGGGTCATGCTGTACATGCATGCGCGGTCCTTGCGGAAATACATTTTAATTTTAAATCTTTTTTTCAGTCGTGAGCAAAATATCTCAAAGTTATTTTATAGAGGCTCGTGAATGAATTTCATTTTTGTGAGAATACTGCATGGAAGAAAATTGCACAGGGACAAACAAAATATTGCAATGGAAATGGCATATAATACTGTATAAGAATATTTATTCAATTAAGTGCGAAACAGCCAAATATTTACAACAATGACACCCCAAATTAGTGACACCAAATGAACAAGCACCCAAAAGACCTCAAATAAATAACTTAAATACAGTACAGCTGCCAGGGACTGTCTAATAACAAACCAAAAAGACAATTAAACAAAACAGAAAACAGTGCTGAGAAAATGCAGTGTTTTTTTTAACCAAGACAGTATCCAAATAAATATTAAATACAAATATAAATAAATTCATTGCTTTTCTTATGGTGAAGTGGTCAAGGCCTCAGTGCACAAGTCAAGATGAATGAAAAGTTCCGGTTGTTTGTGTCCTTGGTTCAATTTTTTGTGACGCTTGGCTGTCGACTCCAACAGCGCTGATCATCCACAATTCAACCGAAAAACTGCAGAACTAAACCGAATAAATAAAATCTCAAAGATGAAAGCTATCAGGTAGATTGAATGCAAGGTGATCAGTCTCTCTCTGAAAGATGGCTGCTCTCTCACCTGATCACAACTCCTAAATGCAAACCACTGCAGTCTCTATAACCCGAGATGGGCAACTGGCTACAACACTCTGAATAGCCCCTTGATTTTTCCCACCCACCCCAATCCCCCGAAAATTTGATTTTTTTGTTTTTGTTTTTACAAACCAAAATAAATCTTCCCTAAATGCCGACAAGCGTTCAACATACGTTCTTCATTAAAAAAAGTGAGGAAATAGGGTATAAAAAATCCCAGAGAAAATGGGAACATCCAAAGTATTTAAAAAACGTTTGTTTAAGGGAAAAAAAATCATTTAATATGAGAATGGATTGGTACCAAAATGCAAATATGCAGGGGTTGACTGTATTTTTAAGTTGTCAAATCACAAATCACCGCTAGATGGCAGACATCTTAGTTGTGTTTATACAGGGTCTCTATACTATCATGTGAGTAAGCCTAATCTTTTTGCAAATTCAAAATGATATGCAGTACAAACATAGTACCTCAATAATATAAAAACATTTGAGCCAATTGAAAACCTTGACAAAATTAGTTCTTTTGCTTCATATTGGTCACTTGTTCTGCAGTTTTTTTGACATCCTCGAATGTTCATTTTTATACATGAGTGCCCTTTGAACTGAGGAAAAAGTTACGTTTGTGGTTATTATGTTGTTTGCTTTGAACCCTTTGTTGTTGAGTGAGGAGAGATGCTTTAACAAACCTCTTATGAAAAATGCAATGAATTAAGAGCACATAATTTGCACATCGCCATATTTAAAATTGTTTTTTTTTTTTTTTTTTGTCATACACCGGGTTAGGAAGTGCGCGGTCTTAAGCCTCAACAGTAGCACTGATGAAAAATTGTGGCCCCGACCAGCACTGAAATTGCCCATCCCTGCTTTATACAGTCAGTGAAGGCCATGGAGGGCCACTGCCTTCACAGCTTTGGTCCGCTTGGGTCTTTTTACATGGCACCCATCTGAGAGGCCAGCAGATGAGAGGAAGTGAAGGAGTCAAAGGCCACGTCCAGGGGCAGCTCATAACGGGACGCCTGAAAGAGTGGGTGGCCCTGATGCCCACCAGGTAGGCCGGCACTTGTGGATGCGGTGTAATGCTGGGATGGCAGGTAATGGGCGTGGTGGCCCGTGTGGCTGGTGTAGTTCCTCTCGGAGTCTTGGGGCGAAGGCTCCTGCTTCAGGGCAAAGTTGCCGCTGATGCTGAGGGGGGGCGTGAGGGGCCCGTCGTACGGCGGGGTGCCGCTGTTGCACTCGTTAGGGGAGGAGTTGTCAAACGCCTGGCCCGCCTTGAATCCCTTCATGTGGAGGAGGTGGGATGCCTCCAGGGAGCCGTAAGGGGGGCTGGGGAGCCCCGGGGACGGGTAGCTGAGGGCATGGCCGACCTGACCCCCCACACCGCCCAACCCAGGGCCTCCACACTTGTCCTCCAGCTTGTTGATGAGTAGCGGCGCGGGTCCCAGCTGCAGGCAGCCGGCCACCAGGTTGCTGGTGGGCTGTGACAGGCCCTTACACAACATCTCCATGAAGCCGTGGCTCTCTGGAGACTGGCCGTTCTCCAACACCTCCGACAGCGCCCAGATGTAGTTGCGGGCCAGCCGCAACGTTTCGATCTTGGACAGCTTCTGTGTTTTGGAGTAGCAGGGCATCACTCGGCGCAAATTGTCCAGTGCGTCGTTCAGCCCGTGCATGCGTGAGCGTTCCCTGGCGTTGGCCTTCATGCGGCGGGCGCGGAACCTCTCCTGGCGAGCTTTGGTCATCTTCTTCTTCTTGGGGCCCCTCCTTTTGGGAGCCATTTCTCCATTCGGCCCGCTCACCTCCTCCTCCTCCTCCTCTTCCTCTTCCATGTCCTCACTGCCCAGCTCGGAGCAGGAGTGTCTGCCCGCCTCCATCAGGACGTGGTGCCCCCTCATTTCGGGGCTTTCCTCGCCATCCTGCGAGCTGCCGTCTTCCTCCAGCCAGGTGAGGGAGCTCACCAGCTCACTCATATCGCCGCTCTTTCTAAATGGCTTGGTCATCATTTTGCTCTGAGCAAAGACAGGAAAGTACACACAATCAGTCGGTGAATCCACAACAACCTGGAATCACATTTGGAATATCTGCTTGGGACCTAATTTCAGCACCGCACTGTGAACAGCTCTTTTGTCTCTATGAGCTGCTGTCTGAGAATCAGTCCAATTTCCGTTTTGTGAAGTGTTTTGCATTATAGTATGCTGAGATGAGTGAAGAAAGATGTGCTTTAAAATCAGGAGAAGATAGATTGTTGTGCTGGGGTCGGCAAAGGGACGCTGTTAATCTGGGACACGACAGGATTTAGCCCTCAAATAAAGCCCAACGATTAAACTGGACAACATGTAAATCAACAAGCCTTGACACATGTTGACCACTCTATGAGAAAACTCAATGTCAAGAGTACATTTTGGTTTTATTTTTCTGCCATTTTTTTTTTGCCGATCGAGATTACTTAACATGTCATATACAGTATTTTTTGTTGTCATTACTCAATACAAATATTACAGAAAAGCATTGCTATAGTTTTGGATTAGAATGCTCCAGATAATAGCACACTAATGTGGAAGAATGGGACCGATTACTGGAACTCAATTCAAACTGCAGATATTTACAATGACATCTTACATTTTATTGGTGACCTGTTTTTGAAATTTGTGCAGAAATGATAATCTCCCAAAAATATTTACTGCAGTCTAACCGAATTTTAATATCAAAATTGGCGGTAAAGTGGAATTAAATGGAACTCACCTGTTTGGATTCCGCTGTTCAGGTCAAGCAAAGAATAGAAGAAATGAAAAAGAAAGTCCAACTTTTGCGCGTTTGTCTTGTGCGTGTGCGTGCCACTGTCCCAAACACAGCGCGTCGTGGGGGCGCATGGAGACTTCGTCCCAAAATGACTCGACCAGGCTGAGATTTGTTGCCCTAAATCCCGTAAACCCCTCCCTCCGACGCCACACCCTCATCCCAAAGAAACACGCGTGGCAGTCTCGGGGCCTGGAGTTTTACAACATTTGTGAGGGGACGAGAGAGAGAGAGAGAGAGACAGAGAGAGAGAGAGAGAGAGAGAGAGAGAGAGAGAGAGAGAGAGAGAGAGAGAGAGAGAGAGAGCGCACGCGCCGGCGCATCCCTAATCACTGTTTCATATGCGAAAGAGAGGGAGCAAAACACAGAATTACCACGAGCGACAAACTGCCGAACGTGACCATTAGTAGTACAGCAACTCGTTGTACAAGCATCATGCACGTGATCGGGAGAGGGGCAAAAAGGAACCGGCAATTTATGAAACATCGGTTGTTCAAAATGTTTCTTGGATGTTAATTCACTTTCTATAGACTGTTTGCAATATGAAACAAATTATTTTAAACACACGATTTAAGTAAGATAATAATTACATCGACAAAATAAATTCAGTTTTCACGTATGAGAACTTGTCATGCCATGTTCATCACAAATACGCGTTCAAATGCTGCAAACATGTTTTAAAATCAAATATTAATTTCAAGGCGTTGCGTTAAGCCTAAATTGTGATATACAGTGCTCGGGGTACAAATTGTTTCGGTGGCGTGGTATATCGCTGAAGCATTTTTAATCGATTGTCTATCTCATCATTAGTTGGGTGGATTAGGAATTTTCCACTTCATTAGGCACACAGTGCACGGCTGCTTGTGGCCGAGCGAGGAGACGCTCCTCCACGCGTGTGCATTTAAGTGCTTGTGACAGCTTGATGCGCGGAGAGCAGGTGTGTGCGGCATGGGCCTCGTCCTTGGCTTGTTTTCTTCCACGTACAGTTTAGCGTCACCGGAGATTCGCTTGGCGAAATAAACAACACATCCGCTATACACTGTAGCCTTTATTCTGGGTGTGTGTGAAGACTTTTTTTGGTGTTATGATGATGAAATCTGAACATTTTGGAGATTTGATTTTTCCTAATTTAATACAGAATGTGTCAAGTGAGATTGTCATCTCACTTGACACAATCTGAGCGGCCCCTCGATTAATAAAAAAAAAAAAATTGAAATTATGAGCATGTTTCCGATCCACTTCGGTCCCACTGATTCAGCTATTCACAGATTGTTTTTTCAATGTGTATATATTTAATTAAAAGTGTGTGCGTGTGTGTGTGTGTGTGTGTGTGTG